TGCCTCTTTACCCTCCTGTCATTGACCTTGGGCCATGAACCATTTGATGGCCTATGATAGGGTCATAAATCCAGATGCTATTTTGGGGACGGGAAGAAAGGCAGGAGCAATGGCATGTCCATCTTTGTCATGAGCCTCACAGGAAAAGCTCAGTCCACATTTTGCTGACGGATCCAACTGCAAGGACTCATTTAAAGATTGCCTCCCCCAGAAAGCCTTCCTGGTTACTTCTGCCTAAACCAGGAGCAGGCACCACCTCCGTGACTTATTTCCCTGTCATGCATGATACAAAGTCTCTGCTTTTTGTACAGAATGCACTTTTGAGAGCAGATACTAAAGGCAAACATGAACGTGAGTCCCTGAATTCACGGGTCACACTTGTGGAAATTGCCAGTTGCTGGATGTTTTGTTGTATACGTTTTCACCACAGTAAAATAAGTAACTTCATGTGTGATGGAAGGCAGGAGTTCTCGTCTGGGAGGGTTAAAAAGAACATATTTATTAATCACACGTGTCATTTTTTGCATACCTAAAGTGTGTTTCTGATCTTTCATGCCTTTTATTCATTTATGTTCCTCATCCTTCACAGTTCAATCAGAGCTTTAAACCAGTTCTGCCTGCTTCAGTCATGGCCAACAAAGCAAAGCCAGAATGGACCTGAATTGGTAAAATGTGGGGGAACCTGAAAGATAATTGAAACACCCTGCTAGACACTTAGTCTCCCTCTTGGAGAACAAGGGCAGTGGGCGTTGCACAGCAACTGAATCTCCTGAACAGCAGAGTCAGAAACATCACTGCCCTGCTCAAAGATGGCAGCCCATCGTGCTGCTTTGAATGTTATCACTCTTCATAGTTCAGCGATAATCTGGTCTCCCACACCAGGCTTCTGAAAAGACTCACCATGCTGCCTCTTCCTAGTCTCCCACCCCACCCCAGGACTTCAGCATAGTTTTTCCCATTCTGGTTAGTGTTCTGGTATACTTGCACATTACAGATTCAGGTCTGTTCTGAATTTGCTGTGTTGGCCATGGCTGAACCAGTTCAAGTTGGTCCGAAGCCCTGAGGTGCATGCAGAGTATTTGTGGGGTTGTGTGAGTGATCGTGTGATCACACATATGTGTCATTAAGAACAGCACCTGATACCCAGTAGTCACTCAGTAATCATCCTCACTCGACGTCATCATTGTTGGCAGCATAGCTGAAGACCAGTGAGGCCCCATTTGAGTCTCTGGATTAACCCCTTGTGGCATACAATGTGCTTCCCACTTACATTGTTTGGATCTGAGTTCCTTGGTGCTAGCATCAGAACTTTAATTTTTCTTATGTCTGCTTCATTTCCTAAAGTAATTTTAGAATATTGATGGAATTGCACAAACTTTGACAAACCTAAATTGTCATAGTGCCCAACTGCTGGCCACCAGGTAGTGGCTCAGGATAGCTATTTGGAATGTGTGTGGGTCAACTGGCCTGGGAAAATCCTAGTTGATGGTGGGGAGGCTCCGTGGGGTGTCAGCAGGATATCAGGGTGCTGGAGAGTTGTGAGTGGGAGAGAGTTACTGGTTGTTACCCATGTGCCTTTGCCTTCCTCTTCCTGCCTGCCCAGTTGGCCCACAGATTCCACAGGCAGATGCCACCCTGGGCCAGTGGATGTGGCTGCCCTGGGCCAGTGGACATGCTGCCATGGGCCAGTGGACATACCATCCTGGGCCAGGGGGCATGGCTGCCCTGGGCCAGGGGCCATGGCTTCCCTGGGTCAGTGGCCTCAGGTCAAAGCCTTGTGCATCCTTGCTCCCTGACAAATGCACAAATCGAATCAAACCACTTGAACTTGAGTTTAAAACATGATCTTTATTGATAAGAAGTAGCTTTTGCTTATTTCTTGTCTTCAATCCTACCACCAGATAAAAAAATATCTGAGGGTTAACGAGAAGATGTAATTAAAGGCAGGACAAGACCGTAAGACATAACAAGTTTGCCATCCTTGGACACAGTTGTATGTTTACCATAGATTGCTAGCAGACCTCTACTTGAGATGGTTAAGCCTTCCTCTTGCTGTGGTTTTCAGTCTATGCTGACATAGGTACTTGTGAGGACCTGCGAGATCTGGCTGTCTGTCCTCCAATCCCAGAGGCCTCTGGCTGCCCTCTGTGCCACATCTTGGAAGCCACAGAGGCGCAGTTAGCTCAGAGTTTGAAGAATGAGTTTAGGAATTCATCCTAAGTGCCTTTACAATGCTGTGTATGCGGCCAACGCTCTGGGCTCGCCCTCCCACTCAGAGCTTGACCAGAGTGTCCAAGTTTCTTCATGTAGACCACTTTCCCATCCCCACTAACGGACATCTGTGCCGACACCCTGCCAAGTTCCAGATGAACTCAGAAGAGTACACAACTTTGGAGTTCTTCCTTGGGTCACCCCCAGTGTCAGCAGCAGATGCTCTCAGTTCGTGAGACTGAGACTTTATCCTGGGAAGGGAGAGAGACTGGACATGGACAGGGATCATCGAGGAGGAGGGTTTGTGTGCACAGCACGTTGCATGCATCCTCTGGGCGTAGCTGATGGTGCTGATCAGATACGAGTGACTTAGGGAGAGCTTTGGCGTGTTTTCCTATATCAGATGGAACTTAAGCCAAGTGCATTTTATTTTAATGCCTTTGGAGAGTAGAATTCATTCAGAAATTAGGATTTAGGTACTCTGACTGCCAAAAATGTCTTGAGGCACCCCGAAGTCCACGTATTTCTATCTCCCACCACGCTGGTTGAGTTGTAAAGAGTTGAACACTTTTGTACCGTGGGAAGAGACTGAGAACATGGTGCCCAAAATGGGCTTTCAGCTGTCCTGGTATCAGGCCAGGCACACATCAACCCTGACAGAGTGTTTGACCTTGAGCGCCACATCCTGAATGTCCTTGGCCAAGCCTGCACCTCCCCAGTGGACTGAGGTCATGAGCTGTGGTGCCCAGAGTGAGGTCCTGCTTACCCAGAGAGCCAGGGCTCTGCTGACTCAGCAGAGGTACACGCTTGTCTTTTGTGGGTCATCTGTGGCCACTCTCAACCACATGTTGGGAAAGGCTGAGCGGGCAGCAGAGAGTGTGCACATGCAGCCAAAAACCCGGTTGTCACAGAGTCAGCTCCAACTCCTGGTGACCCCACGTCTGTCAGACTACAGCGTTGCTCCCTGCGGTTTCCCATGGCTGGTTTTTCAGAGTAGGTCGCCAGATGTTTCTTCTGAGATGCCTCTGGGTAGACTGAGCCTCCAGCCTTTCTGTTGGCAGCTGTGCATTAACTGTTTACACCACCGGAGACTCCCCACACTCAGCGAGTATCAGGGCCTTGAGCCAGTTCATCCTGGTTCAGTCATGACCAAGGAAGCAAAACCGAAGAAGGCCCTGGCAGCAATCTCCATCCAAAATTTTGCCAGCAGAACCCTATGGATCCCAGCAGTCTGACCCTTACTGATGATGGGGCGGGCACAGGAAGAGGCTGGGTTTTGTTTCATTGGGCATGGGGACACCACGAGTCAAGTCGGCTCAACAGCCACTGTCCATAGCAACGGCCATCCACGGTGGTGTGTGTGCGGCCCTGTCTGGAGCCCAAGCAATGAATGGTTTTCTATCCAGAGACAATGGAGTTGGCAACAGGTGCTTATTTTGATGGGTAAGTGGCTTGCTAGGCTCCAGGAAGACTTGGCAGCGATATTTAAATGCACCTGCCCACGGAGCCCGTAATGATTGGGGTTTCAGGGTTCATGGGAGGGAAGCCTGCAGGAACTCCTCTGTGATAAGTGTTGCTGTAAGTGAACCCGCCACCCCACAGCTATTTCAGAGACAAGTAAAGCGAGGCTGGCAGGGAGGGCAGGGCGGTGAATAAATTTCATTTTATTGTAGAAATGGAAATTTGTGTCATGGCTTTAAAAATCTGGTTTTATGTGTGTGTTTAATGCCATTCATTTTAAACTTAGTGTCATAAATCCTTGCTTCGGAATCAAAGCTGTTTAATTACATTTCACCCCTGAATAGTTATCTAATGCCAATGGAGAAAGAGTTAAAAAGGAGAAGCCCAGAGTAAATCAGAGGTGAGATCTTTAGCACAAGCATAAAAAATCAATTTAAGATGAATCTTACTGCTATAAAAATTCTTCAGATAGCCCTTTAAGAGTGGGAAATGCTAGGAAACACAGATCACATTTCAATTCCCTCAGCGACGTGGGGAGAGCTCCGGAGCACACAGCTCCTTGGCTGGCCAGGATGCCCCACCGCGCAGGGGTGAGTGAGGACTTACAGCTCGCAGGAGAAAGCGGGTGGGGATGGCTGCAGAAACCCACCTCTCAGTTTAACACAACAACCACTTGAGTGGACCCCACCTCTCAGTTTGAAGCACCCCTTGCTCAAAGAGTGCCCACTTCTCAGTTGAAAACACTCGCCCTCAAATGGAATACATGTCCAACTGCCTTCTTTGTCACAGACAAAAATAAGTGGGTGATGCCCAGCTACCAATAGTGACCATTCAGATCATTGATTCAATGTAAGAATCATGATCAAAAGGGGGGAAATTCTGAACAGAATTTCAAATGCTTATGGAGTGCAGACATTCTGGAACTGTGGAGGCTGGAGACTCCTTGAAACTGTTACCTGAAGTATAAGAAAAGAAAAGAAGAGAAACTATTACCTGAAGAAATCTTCAAACCTTGGACTGAAGTCTCCCCTTAAGTCATCTTTGAGCCTAATGAGAAAAAACTGTCTGCATTCAACATTACACACTTCTGATGAATTCTGTCTATGCAATCAGATTGGCAACAGCACTTGAAAGGAGTTTGTGTCGATGACATGAAATAGTTTGGAAAACTTGTCGAGAATGGTTGCACAATTTGAAGAAGGTAAACAATGGCAGGGGACTGTACCTGCAGAAATTGCGGAGTGGCGTGTCCTAAGAAAGAAAAGGGAGTGATAAACTACCTCCTCTCCCCAAGCGCAGGCTCACTCCCTGAGGAGCCCCATGCTGGCATGGGGGGCCCCCAAGGAGCCCTGAGGAGCCCTGTGCCAGTGTGGGGGGCCCCCGAGGAGCCCTGTGCCAGCATGGAGAGTCCCAAGGAGCCCCTTATCAGCATGGGGAGCCCCAAGGAGACCTGTGCCAGCATGGAGGGCCCCAAGGAGCCCCAAGTCAGCTTGGGGGCCCCTGAGGAGCCCTGTGTCAGTGTGGGTCGGGATGGGCCAAAGCCTGTGGCCTTGTACACTAGCCACAGTCCTTTAGCATCCCGGCCCCACCTACAGAAGGTTGTACAGACCCTGGCAGGGCTTCTGCTGTCGGAGATGCTGAGCAAGGTGGTTGGTCCAGGGGTCGTGGACCAC